GGGCGGGGACGCTCGGATCGCACCCTCCGATCTCGGAGGCGTGTCCTGGGGCGTCCCTTCACCCGCCCCTCAATGGGTGATAGAGTGGGCTCCGGGGGGGTCGGCGGTAGGCGGGGATACCTACCGTCGGCAACCCCAAACCCCCCCAAAACCAACGGGAGGGGTGCGGCGAGAGGTCGTGTGTCCGCCTCTCGCCGCGCAAATGCTGAGGACGGCTCTAACGGTGAGTGGGAGGTTGCGGGTACGTAACCCGCTCCTCCCCTCACCGAGTAAGGAGCGCAATAGCGCTAGCGCAGGGCAGCCCCCCGAAGAATACCGAAAGGTGATGCCAGGGGGTCGCCCAACTCGCGCGGTGAAGGACACACTCAGGGGTTTTTAGTGGGTATACCTCCTCCTCTCCTGTAGAGAGGGGGAGGGGAGTCCCACATACCCCCGGAGACCTCCCCGGGTTTCTCCGAAGGATGCGTAATGCATTTTCCCCTGAGTTATCAAAAAAAAAAAAATGGAGGGGTGTGCCCCCCCGTGTCCACCACCTTGCTGTGGTGAGGGGGCTCCGGCGATCCGATGAAGGCTCGGCGGCAGTACCTTTCGGCTTCGGCCGGAGGGGAGGCCCCTACCTGAGGACCGCTGGCTAAGAGTGGACAGGGTAGCGTAGGGACGGGGGGAAACCCTGAGGCTTATACCGGTAGGCAATGTGTCATGCCGGGCGGCCCAGGGAAGAGTATGGGGTATTCGTGCGAGGTAGAGTCGCTAGGTAGGACGGAACGGCCTGCGGGCCGGCTGTGAGCGCGGTCTCGACTGCGTTCCCAGACGGCACCGCCCGCAGCGCATGGGGGAAAGGGCATTGGTCTGACAGGAGACCGTGGCTGGGTTGAGGTGCGGAGACGGGGTGATTATAGGAGAAAGGGCCCCAAAGGGGGCGGAAGAAAGGAGCCGTCCCGGGGGCGTCTGGTGGCACCCCGTGTGTCGCCGGCGCCGCCGGAGACGGTAGCGGTGGCGGTACGCCTCGAGCCGGGGGGTCTCACATATGCGGAGGCCCTCCGCAAGGCGAGAGGTGAAATCGCCTTGGGAGCAGGTGTGGTCCCGGCCCGCCTTTGTAAGGAGGGCCGCAGGAGGTGGCCTCCTCTTCGGGCTGGCCGGACCCGAAAAGGAGAGGGAGGCGGACGCCCTAGCAGAGAAGCTTAGGGCGTCGCTCCCGGGGGCCGCGGTAACGCGGCCCTTAAGGTGGGGGGAGGTCCGACTCGTCGGCTTTGACGAGTCGGTCCTCCCGGCGGAGGTGAGGGAGGTTCTCGCGGAGCAGGGGGGCTGCGGGCCGGGCGATATTCGCCTCGGCCCCATCAGGTGGAGTTGGCGGGGGGAGGGGGCTGTTTGGGCGCGTCTCCCCCTCGCGGCGGCCGTCAGGGTGGCGGCCAAGGGGAGGGTGGCCCTGGGGTGGGCGGGAGCGAGAGTCGAATTGCTCCCGGCTCGCCCGCTCCAGTGCCATCGGTGTTGGGGGCTCGGCCACGTCCGGGCGGCCTGCTCCGCGTCTACGGACCGGAGTCGGCTGTGCTACCGATGTGGTCGAGCCGGGCACACCGCGCGTGTCTGCACTGAGAGTGCGGCCTGCGCTGTGTGCCGTGAGGAGGGACGGGACCCGGGTCACCGGATGGGTGGTCCCGGGTGCCCGCTGATGGGGGGCGGTCGGTTTGGCGGTACGCCGCCGGGCCACCGTAGAGGCCGGCCGCCGAACGCGGCTCCGGGCCAGGGAGTCCCGGTGCCCGCGGGAGGGCCCGGTCTTCCCCCACCACCACCAACCGCGGGGTCTGCGGGGGAACTTCATCCTCCGGAGGGTCCGCGAGAGGTAGAGATGGCCCCGGTCTGACCACCAAGACCGGGGCCACGGCGCTGGCCGAACACCAGGCCGGCGCCGGGGGGCCGGTATTCGGCATAACCGCCTGGTACCGGTCTCCCCTCTCCCCTACCGGCCGCGGCGGGAGTGCGCGGGGGCGCACCCTCCTCCATTGCGGCTCGGGAGGGAGGCGGCGCGGTGTAGGGTCGCACCGCGCTGCTGCCAGTAGGCACCACGACCGGGGGTGACTGTACCCACCCCCGGTAATGTTGGTCTGGGAGACCCACCTCCCACTACCATCGGGAGGAGCGCGGCGAGAGGTGTTGTGTCCGCCTCTCGCCGTGCAAAGAGGCAAGAGTGGCCTCACGGCAGGGGGGAAGCAACCGGGGAGGGGCTATGTCCCCGCCGCTTTCCCCCCCAGGGTACGGAGCGCGATAGCGCTAGCGCAGGGCGGCCCCCCGAAGAATGCCGAAAGGTGATGCTAGGGGGTCGCCCTACTTGCGCAGTGAAGGACACACTCAGGGGTTTTTAGTGGGTATACCTCCTCCTCTCCTTTAGAGAGGGGGAGGGGAGTCCCACATACCCCCGGTGACCTCCCCAGGTTTCCGGGGGATGTGTAATGCATTTTCCCCTGAGTTATCAAAAAAAAAAAAACCGTTGCGGGTCTGTCCGTGTGGGTGCCGGACGTAAAGAATGCCCCCAACGTATGGCCTGCGTGTCGTAAAAGGCGACTAAAAGGCCCTCATGGGTGGTTTGCTGCGCCCATGAGTATTAGGAGCCGTAGGGCTCCCCTCCTTCTCGCTTTAGAGATGGAGGGGAGCCCAAAGGCCCCTACA